AAGAGTCCTGGATCAAAGATAGGAAAGGAACTTTTAAACGATGCAGCATTCGTGGTGATGGTACGGAATTCCGAGCCATCTGCAGGATCTGGGGTACCTTCATTTAATAAGTTTTGGATAGGGCCTAAGGTTTTTTTATGGATGGTAACTAAATTTAATGAAATGAGATGGACAATTTGGAAAGATTCAAAGGAATTCAACTGCATCTATACTGAGGTAGGGAAAAAAAAGGGTGTATCTGCTTTAAAAAAAAATATATATATATATTCATTACATTTTCCTTGCAGTCAACTTTCCTGACTGAGATTTTAGCCTTTAAATTATGAAATGATTAATGAAGTGACCCTTTATTAGCCTTGATTCGGCCCATCAGCACAAACACAAAACAAAACAAAATATACTGGTGGCACAATTCTACAGGATGCTGGTTTCTGATCCCCTCAAAAGGAAGCTGTTCTTTAATTTTGCTCTCACTGTTGGGGTTATAAACTGTTATAAACTGTTTTTGAGTTTGGACCCCACCCATGCGAAAACATCTACGATGATGTATGATGACAGCAGGTGAGACACATCACTCTTCAGGTTGGGTAGTAACGTGTCTCTTTTATGTTGCATCTGGTTTAGTACTTTAGATATCTTGCTTCGTGAACCGGAGTGAAGTCGTTCGCTGTCAGTTTCGCGTTCAGGAGTTGAAGCATTTCTACCTTTCTTAAACTGGTGTTAGAGAAAACAAGCTCTTGACATTCATCGGGATTGAGAATTAGATCATTTTGTGCTGACCGATCGACGATCCTTCGGACTTCCTCAGAGTTCGCCCGAAGATCTCCATCGTTCTTTATATATGTAACTATAGCAGTGTCATCTGCGTATTTGATGATTTTTACAACCTCTTTGGAGGAGCGAAGAGAGTGGTTGTTATCTCATGAAGAGGAAGGGGGATAGAACTCCACCTTGTAGGACGCCTGTCCGAGATAATATTACTTGAAATATTAGGCTAAAGCTTAATTTATGTTCGAATACAAATTTTGTAAAAAAAAATTTTTATTCATGATGTCCACAGTTTGCCTTTGCACACGCCTTCAAACTCCTGATCCAGCCTTCACACCCTTTTCTAACAGTCTCTTCGGTATCTTTTCCACCTCGCAGGGCTGGATTAAGGGTGGGGGACAAAGGGCCCTACTCTTCAAGGGCCTTCGAATAAAATCAATAACAAAAATATTTAAAAAAATACAATACATTTTTTTGGATGGATCAAATTAAATAATCCAAAGGGTTTAAAGTCCGGCGGTAATGATGGTCAGTGAGTGAGTCAATGCCGAGTCTTGCTGCAGCGTCCATTGGGCTCCCTCGAATAAATTATTAATCAAAGGTTTAGTAACTGGCTCTAGTACATCCCTGATGTAGGCAGTCGCATTGATTTTCACTTCAGATGTTAAAAGTTAACCTCGTGCGACCGCAAAAGACCATCCAACACCCCAAGAAAGACCATCGCACTTAAATGCTTTTGTGTTCTTAGAGTCCTCAAACTGTCACCTGCAATATCAATTGAGAGGGATCCTACCATCTGTCTGCGACCCAAAGCAGTCTTCTGGATGTTACTTCTCAAACCTCTCTGATTCTCCCCAACTGTTGTCTCCTTGTAGCAATGTCTACCTTCATGAGTTGAATATCCTTTTTACTTTGAGTTTATGAGGGGTGTACCGAAAGTAAGGAGCCCTAATTTATTTGAGAAGAATTACTTTTTGGACAAGCCTAAAGTTTTATTCACACAATATATTACATTTCCATTACTGATTGACACTAGCAATTTCATTGTTTATGCCCATGTTGCAGCACAGTAACCATTTATAATTATGCCTACTATGTATGATGTATTGAAGGAAAATGCTTTGTTTGAACTCTTCAGAAAAGATTATGTAACCCCTGAAAAAATTCACATGCTACTGCAGAATGTGTTTGGTGAGTCTAGCAACAGTTAGGCAAGTGTGAAACTGTTGGTTCTGTATTTCAAAAGTGAAAACAGGAACATCAAAGACAACGCACATTTAGAAAATTGGCAGGTATGGAATGGGGAGAAGTATCCTACCTCTCTCGTGTCTTTTCTTTTAACATTTCGTCAGGAATGGACAAAGGAATGAACATTCCTCATATCGATCAATATCGTAAATCCACTTTTCAAACTCCCACTAAAAGTACATCAATTTACGAATTTCACCAAAGAGGGCAGTGTGATCTTCAATTGGAATTTGAGGGAAGGTGTAAGAATGGTTTACTGTATTGATTCATTTAGGATTTTTCAAATAGGGAGGATCTGGCAAAAGGTTGTGGGAGGGGGGGTGCTTAGTTATGGTGTTAACTCCACATGTGGGGTGTGGAGCTGGGATTCATACTTCCCCCTGCTCACAATGTTAGCACTGCTTCCATGGTTTATTCCCATTGCATATTAGAAGGTTTCCAGATGAACCTTTTGTTATGATTGTGAGGTCTGGCATTGTCATGCTGCAGAATGGCAATGCTAAGCCTCACACATAGCTATGTTGTGCAGCTATGCAAGGCCCAATGTTGTCATGCTGCAGAATGACAATGCTGATCCATGCAATAGTCTGTGCAGCTGTGGGCCTCAGCATTGTTATGCTGCAGAATGCCGATGCTAAGACTCACACTTCCCTTACAATGATCAATTTTTTCCATGGAATCATGAAATACTATTCATATTTAAAAGTGAAAGTCAGCATTCTCTAACGTGTAATTAAGACACGTTGGATGTCCATTCGTGGGTAGTTCTCTAAATTCTTTTGGGACCCGAAGTCAATCGAAATGTAGTCCCCACAGTTTGAGTTTAGCCTGTCATCTGGTGTAAGGAAACCCTGCAGATGCCTGCAGGCCACACCCATAGTTTTTCACTGAAATTTGCCCTAACAGTCGATCCAAGCGGAAATTTCAAGAACACATGGCAGGTGAAGCACCACTGCAGGCTGTATGTTTGGCAATCCTTCTTTACATGGACTAAATGTCTTGTCGAAGGGTAGTCCTTGGACTTGTGCTTTGGATGGCCCATCTTGTCTGGGACAGGGGCCTGCACAGTGGTGAGAAATCATTCACTGTAAATGCTTATTATTAAAAGGAAGGTTTTCTGTTTCAGGCTTCCAATGCAGCCCATCCTCCAAACATTTTAAGTCACTTTTATTTACTGATCATGGTTTTATACCATTTTATGCATATCTTCCATGTATATGTGTAATACATCCACTTTGGTTAATGAGCTTGAGTTCTCGATTGCCTGACACTATCTTTTTGTTTTCAGGCTACCAATCTCATCCCATTTCCCCTCCTATTTCTGAGTTGAATAACTACACTGTTTGAATCAGTGATAATAGTGCAAGACCCAATTGATACTCATTTTTGCATGGGTGCCCAGAGTGTAGAGACATTAACCTTACCACATGTGTTCATTTTCAGCTTTCACTGATTGCCACCATCCTAATCCCTCAGCCTTGCATATGATAATTTTGGCAAAGAAGTGGCAGGGAAGAACATATTGATTGCACATTTTGAAGAAATTGTTTATTGTATATACAGTGTTTTTTTTATTTACAGAAATTGTATGTGATGTGTTTATTCATGATACTGTTGCATTCATGTGTATTTTGTAGCATTGATGGTGCTGTTTTTCATTTTACTTTTGTGCGATGGTAACAGCACTTCTTAATCTACTAACTCATTGCTTGTGAATGCCTGACTCTTTTGGTTGAAATGGTGCTTCCTTGCTGCTTCTCCCATGCTGTTGTAGATGCTGTTTACCCTTGTGAATCTGAGTGATTCTCGCAATCCCTGTTGCCCAGAAGGCAGGTTAGATACCAGTGCCAAATGCTAGTAGAAATATGTGTATATTGCATCATAAGAAATTGTTGTTTTTTCTGGCAATATTAATAACCTAGGATGTCTCATGCGAAACTATTGAACCATGTCACTCTTGGTGATCCTGTGTCTGGTTATCTCTATATTGGATGCCTTGCATGATAAGGCATTTAATGATTTCTTGATCGCCTGATGATAATTAAATAATTATTTAATGCATAAGCTTGCCTAATTTTTCAATCGATACCCTTAAAATGTCAGCGTTTCAACTGCACCTTTCTCATGTGGTTTTTTGATGGAAGTTGATGTCCTGAACCCCTGAAATTATAAGGTGCAAGTCAGGGATGCCAAACCACTTTGTTTGAAGATAATTTTAAAATCTTTTTCCTCTGAATGGATGGTTAATCTTTCCATGTCCTTGTGTTCCCATCTCAGGGAGGAATGCAGCCAAACTCGTTGATGGCATGTGCCTACCACCTCTGTCGTTCCTGTCCCCCAAAAGGTTCGAAGTCCTTGCCTATGACATGGATGAACCTCTCTCCACCAAAGTCTTCCCAAGTTCTGATGAAATCAGCTCACTTCCTATCTACCCTGCTGAAGTTAGGCATATGTCCAACGAATCCCTCAATATTCAATTCAGTCTTCATCCCAATTCGGACTCAAAATCCAAGGGAAGTATCCTGCTCTCAGCTGATTCCCATGGACATCTCCTTGTTGGAGATCTGCAGTCCCAACTTCCAAAGTGCATTATTTCATCTATATTCAAGCCCAATGCTACCCTCTCCTCAGTCTTATCCTGTGCCCCTTCACTTGTCTCTAACCAACAGTGTGGTACCATAGTGGCGATTGGTGGCAGGATTGCGGTAGAACACTGAATGTCGCTTAATTAAGATGCGAGACGTCTTGAATTCCCCGAGGTTGATCCTTTACAGGCCCAAGTGGCTGGGTAAGTCAACGGTTGAGAGATTTTTAAAGGAAAAAACAAAATGAAAGGAAACCAGATAAGAATCAGTTCGCAAATCCCGTCAAAAATGCCACCAGGAACATTGGGGGGGTGCAGTTCGTAATTCCCTCCAGAGATGGCGCCAGGAACATGTGGGGGATGCAGTTCGTAATTCCCTCCAGAGATGGCGCCGGGAACATGTGGGGGGGGTGCAGNGGTGCTTAGTTATGGTGTTAACTCCACATGTGGGGTGTGGAGCTGGGATTCATACTTCCCCCTGCTCACAATGTTAGCACTGCTTCCATGGTTTATTCCCATTGCATATTAGAAGGTTTCCAGATGAACCTTTTGTTATGATTGTGAGGTCTGGCATTGTCATGCTGCAGAATGGCAATGCTAAGCCTCACACATAGCTATGTTGTGCAGCTATGCAAGGCCCAATGTTGTCATGCTGCAGAATGACAATGCTGATCCATGCAATAGTCTGTGCAGCTGTGGGCCTCAGCATTGTTATGCTGCAGAATGCCGATGCTAAGACTCACACTTCCCTTACAATGATCAATTTTTTCCATGGAATCATGAAATACTATTCATATTTAAAAGTGAAAGTCAGCATTCAGATTGCACATTAATTCTGTGCAACCTACAGGTAAGCACCCATCAAGAGATTTAAGAAAACCCTGGGCTTCAGTTAGCTTTACATCAGGGGTGTCAAACTCAAATCGGACAGTAGACCACATTCCTTGCCCTGCAGATGCCTGCAGGCCACACCCACACCCTTCTCCCATGCTGTTGTAGATGCTGTTTACCCTTGTGAATCTGAGTGATTCTCGCAATCCCTGTTGCCCAGAAGGCAGGTTAGATACCAGTGCCAAATGCTAGTAGAAATATGTGTATATTGCATCATAAGAAATTTTTTTTTTTTCTGGCAATATTAATAACCTAGGATGTCTCATGCGAAACTATTGAACCATGTCACTCTTGGTGATGCTGTGTCTGGTTATCTCTATATTGGATGCCTTGCATGATAAGGCATTTAATGATTTGTTGATCGCCTGATGATAATTAAATAATTATTTAATGCATAAGCTTGCCTAATTTTTAAATCGATACACATAAAATGTCAGCGTTTCAACTGCACCTTTCTCATGTGGTTTTTTGATGGAAGTTGATGTCCTGAAACCCTGAAATTATAAGGTGCAAGTCAGGGATGCCAAACCACTTTGAAGATAATTTTAAAATCTTTTTCCTCTGAATGGATGGTTAATCTTTCCATGTCCTTGTGTTCCCATCTCAGGGAGGAATGCAGCCAAACTCATTGATGGCATGTGCCTACCACCTCTGTCGTTCCTGTCCTCCAAAAGGTTCGAAATCCTTGCCTCTGACATAGATGAACCTCTCTCCACCAAAGTCTTTCCAAGGTCTGATGAAATCAGCTCACTTCCTATCTACCCTGCTGAAGTTAGGCCCATGTCCAACCAATCCCGGAAGATTCAATTCAGTCTTCATCCCAATTTGGACTCAAAATCCAAGGGAATTATCCTGCTCTCAGCTGATTCCCATGGACATCTCCTTGTTGGAGATCTGCAGTTCCAACTTCCAAAGTGCATTGTTTCATCTATATTCAAGCCCAATGCTACCCTCTCCTCAGTCTTATCCTGTGCCCCTTCGCTTGTCTCTAGCCAACAGTGTGGTACCTTAGTGGTGATTGGTGGCACATTTGATATTGCTCAATATCACATTCCCAGAGAAAATAATCCAGATGGGACATGTGAAGGGCTATATGAAGGAGAAGATCTTTAAAGAGATACTTGGAATGATTCTTGACCTAAAGGATGCAGTGACACATAATTTCAGGTGTTACGCATGAAACTCATCAGGCGGTAGTTGAAAACTTCGCCATCAGAGTTCGCTCTTGTCTACAAAATGGAGGACAATTTTAGCACCCATTATAAGCACATGGAACTTGAGTTTTCTAATCATTTAGAAGCATTATTTTTATCTTCATTAGATACAAAATGGCACATGATCAAAACTTGTAACATTTTTTTGGTCCACCCTGTACAAATCAGCTGTTGTGCAATCAAAAAGGTTACCCTATGTGCAGTTTATTGTCCTAATGCCCTCACCTAATTTTTCTCAGCATTGCACACTTGTAGAATCAATCCCATCCCATTACTACATCCCACTGGGTGATATGAACTGTAACCTATTGGATATTACCACCCCAGGGTTCAGACTCCTGTCTTGACATGTGCAAGGCCCTAAATCTTAAGCAGCTCACACATTTTCCCGCATGAATGACTGGAAAAACTACTACCCTCATTGACCATATTTACACTAACTGCCTATCCAGAATAAATCAACATGGTACCATCCCTTCCTCTATCAGTGACCACTTCACAATCATTGTCTCTCTTACTCTTAGTAACATACAAACCTGCCACCATAAAAAAATTCCTATCTGCTGCCAGCTCAATATCCCAAACTACCTACAGACATTATGATATTGACCCCTCAAAGATTATTGAAAATGTGCAAAATTGCTATTGGGAATCTCTCCACCACTCTTCAGACCCTAATGAACCAGCTGAAAAAATCAACACTAATCCTTTTTCCCTCATCCTTAAAAAGCACCACTCCCTAACATACATTCTTAAGATGTAACTTAAACCAAAAACCATTCATCACAAAATGCATCCTCCAATTAATTAAGGAATGAATTTACTTCTGCAAACTTGCAGTTATAACTGGTACTCCACACTACTGGAATATATATTTAAATACTATTGTGCTTCAGTCAGGA